GCTTTCTATGGGAACTTTTGCTGCAGCAAACAAATTAAACTTTGCTAATATTAATAAGAGACAATATGTAACAGCCTGGGCACCATATTACAGACACCACCAATCTGGCCTAATATCCTTTTCAAGCCTTATTAACTTTAGATAGCAACAACCATGACTAAAATCACTTTGCCTCCTAAACAAACACCGTACACAATCCAGACCAAGATCCTCTTTCATTTGCTATAATCCAAAAGTGGCTTTGTAAACTCTGAGCTGAACCTTCTATCTGAATAGGGTAGCTACCTCTGAAAATAGCGGAGTGATGGATTTCAGGCTGAAGCATGCAGCTGTTTTGCCATTCAACTATAAACCCTTATTATCCTTGCTTTACCTATCTGATAAGAATGGATTTAAGGTAAACGTCACAGAGTTCCTGATTCATTGAATATAGGGCATTGATTAAATCTGCGTGTAAGAACGGCATTTATGATGAAGACAAAACCAGCGAGATCAGCGAAAGCCACGGATTAGGGGAAAAATAAGCTGTGTCCTAAAAATTGTCCGTGAAATAGGTCGAAAATTTGGATAAACGTTTATCACAGTTAAACCCTTCTCCAGTATGCCAAGAGTTAAGTTTACTTTGCTTGGATAATGGGCAGAACGACGTGAATATTGGAACAAATCTGATGCGAAACCGTGTGACTGAAAATTATGTTCACCTAACTTTATCTGTAACGCAATTTCGTTCGGTACGTTGCACTTCTTAAATGACCCTTTTACTCAGAACAGCATTTCCGAATAGAACGATCTATTCTGATTACAGATAACTCATTATTGCTCAAGATAACTCATATATTGCTGCAAGATACCAGTAAATGTAAATTTTGTTGAACAAAACAATTTAGATTTTGCCACTTCACACGTGATTGCCTATTCTGATAAAAGCTGAAACAGTTTTCCTCAGATATTATTATCAGCAATCATTTATTTCGTTTCAAAACATTAAACTTTTCACAGTAAAGGGCAATTAAATGTACGCAGAAGTAAATACAGCGCTAGAGCTTGAAAAAAAACGTTAAAATATTAGCAAAACAAGGAAAACTTCCCTTCGAGCTTCGCCATATTTATCACAGGGTTCCAGTCATAGTGTTGGACAACAGTTTAAAAATGTCATTCACAGACTAGAAAACTGATATCATCTCACAGGTGCATTATTCCAGTCAGTTTTATATTCACACCTATAAGCTATACTTTCCACACCGATTGCTACTTCTTTCAACAAAAAATGATCTTTTCTAAAATCCAGTCAAAACACAACTTCTCTTACTAGAACTAAGATAATTCATTAGCGAATCCAAGTATACTGCCTGAGAAGCTTTCAGAGGTAAGAGTGCATCCTTTGCTGCATCGATGGGGAACCAGCAGCGTTTCCTTCCTACAAATTTTACGTTACAAACGATAAATATAATCACAAGACACGAATACAAGTTTTCTAACATTTATTTAAAAGCCTAACCCAGAAACTCTCAGCAACATTCCTGATCAATTATCAATTGAATTTATGAATCAAAGGCTCACTAGTGACATTTTTACCGGGTAGAATGTAGGCACTACCTCGAGCACAGTACCACAGTTAAGTGAAAAGTGTTATCCATCAAAGCAGTCCTAAAAACCAAGAATAAACATTTAACCGTAACAGAATTACCGAACTGGCAGTCACTTTATTTCCCCGTTTCCCACGCTTATGGAAAGCTTGCGTATCAATCGTTCAACTAAAAAATGACTTAATCATTGCATACAAAATGATTCAATTCTATCAATAGTTTCAGTTCCTGTTTAAGAGCCGTCAGTTTGCAACAACTGTGGTAAAGCCAGTTTGCCCTGAACGTTTAGAAACAAGCTGCGAGAACCTGTAAGCGTAATACGACGAACAGAAAATGGCAAATAAGATGAATAACTTTGTTTATCTGTTTCATAATCTTCAGCGATTATGTCAACTAATTAGAGCTAAATGTGAGGATTGCATTGCTTTCAGCGGTTTTGGTAGCCTGTTCAATATTTAGACATAAAAAAGATCAGGATCGTCATCCTTTTCAGTGGGAAGGAAATAGGATAAATGCAGACGAGAAGACCAATACGCCGCATGGTCGAACAATATAGGGGGTTACGTTACACAGATGAACTGTTCCTTTTACGACGTTGTCGTCATCATTTTAATGTTGAAAAATAGATGACAGTAGACATCACCAATCAAAGATGTTCACCTACTGCAAACGGATCAAGGTGATGCTCACAGTGGACTACCAGAAGCTAAATCTATACATATTTCAGAAGTAATTCTATTAACAACATTTATAAATTATCTTACATGGGGATCAAACTTCATAAAAATTTTCGTTTATATTACTGAACGTTATAGTGCCGAAGAAAACATGTTAGTTTCAGAAATTCCCGTGTCTATGGGACACGAAAAAAACGCAGAACTAAAAAAAAAGTAACAGACTGCTGGCAGCAGCATACCTATCCGTTTAGAATCTTCCCATACTTCAACTTCTTCCGTGACCCGAAGAACAAAAACGGAAGTTTTAAGTTTTCTTTCTTCGTCCTACAAAAGGATTTCTGAAACGAAACAGAAGATCAGTCACGATTTCCATGCCGTTGCAGAATACAAGAAATTTCGGTAAGGTGCAAGGCAAGAATCACTATCTTATCAACTAAGTGATTCTGAGAAAAACTTATATGAAGTGCCATTATAAAGGAGCAGTAAACAGAATCAAATTAAACATTATTAGGTCCCATCATTAATCACAGGAGACATGTTCAAAAAATTGCCTGAAAAGCATTCAGATTTCCAAGCAGTTTCGCAGTGTAATCTTAATTTTTCAAAAACGAAAAGCAATAATGAAGCATGCGAATAACTTGCTATGTACTCACGATATTTCGTTAATACGATAGTAATAAATTTATGAATATAAATAGTTAACTCCGCCGTTGACGGTTCCAAGCCCGGATAACAAACGAGGAGGGTTGGAAAGCGTGGCAAGTCTCCGTAAAATTTAGCCACCTGCCACTCACGGTATTGACGCCATCAAAAATCACACCGGCTCGATCGTCGCCCGGGTGGGTTACCAAGGACCGCCCAGGCTGCTGGGGGACTGAGGCAGACTGCGAAAAGTCGGCGATCAACACCTGTTCATTGCCCTCTGCCAGCCGGGGGCGTAGCAGCACAACGACGGCTGACGAAGAACGACGACGAAAATATCACTCACCAACGGAGTCGCTACCCGTTCTGAACGGAGGAGGCAGACAGCGCGATGCCATTACAGCACGTCAAAAAAGGCTTCACGAGAAAGACACCACCAGTGGGAGCTAAAAGTCGAAAATTGGAACATATCCTGACTTAGAGGAAAAGAACAAGAATTAGTTGATCAGGTCATAAAGTACCAAATCGACATCCTTGGATTCTCGCCAATGAAACGCCGAGCCTCTGGACTCCTGAACCTCAATGGATGGAAGCTGTTCTACTCAGGCGTCGACATCACGACTCGCGCT